AACTTTTTTAAATGAGAAAATATTTCATTAATATTTAATGCATTTTTAAAGGTGATAGTTTTCGGCACATAAATCTACATATATACATTTTAAACATCATTCATTCTCTCATTTAGGACAAGTTTTGAAGACATAAACTTTTATAAATAGAAAAGCAAACCATTACAACTATTTTCATTCATATTTTGGTTTAAAATGAAATTAGACTGAAAACCAGTAGTTTGAATTAATACAATCATTATGATTTCATGCTTTTGTATAAAAAATTTTTCATGAAGATATCAATATAATTCTCAATTAGTTAAAAATATTTCACCTATAAATAGTTAGTTGTAAACTTCATTTGTTGTTTCAAGCATGTTCATTTACAAACTTTAAAACTCCTTTAGATCTCTGCTCCTTTTTAAAATTCCCAAAAAATTTCTGTCTACATTCAAACATTTAGACACACACACACACACACATACACATCCATACTTATTCAAGTATGCAGCTGAAAATACATGGGGAACTAACCCATCATATGAATGTTTGACATGTAGAAAATGAAGTTTAATTATTTTATTTTTTTTTTTTTTTTTTTTTTTTTGTTCACTACACTCTAGTCTCATTTTCATTCGTTTTGAAATTTGTATGGAAATTCTTGTTTTTCATAGTCGTAGCCCAGCAAATGCCAAAATAAAAAAACAACAATACCTACTAACAGTAAAATAACTAGAGACAACATATAAAAGTAGGAAAAAAGTGAGAAAAAACGAAAAACTTCATTTTCTGGTATTTGCATTTTTCCAGTCAAGCATTACACAACGCATACAGACATATGAACAGTCACACATACATACACATATTTGTTCTATAATTAGAATGCACCAAATTCTGGTGGAAAAAAAATGAATGCAGATTTAAAATTTAAAAAGACTTGAGATTTTTATACCGACCCTCAGAAAAGATTGTCATTCAGTTTGTATATCATCTAAATATTGGACGTAGATCGATAAAACTATGTGTATTGTGAACCTTATTAAATTTTAAGACGATCTAGCCATGTCCGTCCGTCTCTTGAAAGCACAATAGAGCGTGAGGGTTGAAATTTTGCACAGTTATTTCCTGATAAGGTTTTGAAATTGTATTGAAATATCGGTCCACGATTTCACTTAGTCTCCATACAAGTGTATTTTGTTAATTTTTAAATTTTATTTTAATTAAATTTTTTTTTTTTTTTTTAAAAAAGGAAAGTATAGAACTATTTAAGATTTGGATCCCAAAGATATCTGCACCCTTCAGAATATATCGAGTATCGAATACCCTGTGTTATGTTATTTGGAAGCTGCAATATAACGAGAATACTGGGGGCTATTTATATTATTACTAGCTATACCCAGTGTGCACTGCGACCCTAAAGTCAATATACATAAATAAAAAATCCACTTAACGTTTTTTGAAGATTCTAGCTCTAACAGATTCCCCGATATATGAATTTTTGTATTTAATACATATGGGAGGTACCAACCCCCTATTCAAAGTGCACCAAATGTTCACACGGATGTCACAGTTCTTCGTGCAAAATTGAGGATTCTAGCTCTAATAGTTTCTTAGATACACGAATTTTTGTACTTAATTCATATGGTAGGTGGCAAGCTCCCCTAATGAAAGTCCGCCCATTCTTCGGCAAAATGTTCACATGGATGTAAAAGTTCTTCGTGCTAAATTTTAAGATTCTAGCTTCAATAGTTTCCTAGATAAAAGAATTATTTAATTTAATTAATATGGGAGGTACCACGCCCCTTAAATCTAGTCTGCCAATTTGTTACCCAAATGTTCACATGAATTTCAAAGTAGTTCGTGCAAAATTTTAAAATTTTAGCTCTAATAGTTTCTCAGATCTACGAATTTTTATATTCAATTCATATGGGAGGTACTAAGACCCCTTATCAAAGTCCGCCCATTTTTCTCCTAAATATACACGTGGCTGTTAAAGGATTTTGTGCATTATTTTAAGATTCTATCGCCAATGGTTTCCCAGATAAACAAATTTTAATATTTTATTCATATGGGAGGTCACATATGGGTCATACCCCTTATTGCTAGTCTGCCCATTTTCTGTCCTAAACATTCATGTTAATACAAAAGTGCCTACAAAATGAAGTTATATTTCCTCATGCTTATCATTTAGGATTAGCCTAATACTTCCACATAGGTAGAATATTTTTTCGTATGTAGAACTCGATAATTTCTTAGATAACTAACACAGTGGATCACTTAAATAATATTCACATCAATTTATTGCAGAATTATGTAAAATTTTATTAACTATTTCGGGTTTAATCTAAAAAGAACTTGTCTTTCTTAATATTTTCACTCTCAACCAGAAATTACTGAAAATGGGAAATAACTGATGAATCTTAAATAGTTTTCAGTATAACTTGAACTATTTTCTTGTCAGATATTTTAACTTTAGAACCGGTTTAAGTCCAAAAGATGCTCAGGCTTGGGGGTAATCTTTACATGAAGTAATTCATTACATGGTTAATTATAATTATGTACTTGTAATGTGTAATTGAACAATAACCAATTATAATTAATTGTAATTGCCAATTAACTAGACATTAGTTAATTGTAATTACCTCTCATTACTTGTTATTGAAGTTTTGTCAATAACAATTACTTTTAGTTGTAATTAAGATATTACTATTTACAATTACATGTAATTATAAGTGAAAAAAGTCGCAACTAAAAGTAATTGTAATTGGAAAATCTTCAATAACAATTACAAGTAAGAGACAAAATTTAAATTAAATGTAATTGTAATTGGTTATTGCTTAATTACACATTAAAAATAAGTGTAATTGGCAAAACTTCAATTACAAATAATTGTAATTTGTGAAGATTCAATTACAAATAATTGTAATTAGTGAAGATTCTATTACAATTACTTCAAATATAATTGTAATTGTAATGTTTATCCCCCAGGCCTACTATGGGTTATAAATTATGGATGGGAAGGGAAAATGTAACCGATTTTTTCTCTCCTCTTCTTTTTTTATATTTTCCAACCACTGTGCCTTAGTTTATGTTTGTATACTGGTATAGTATTTGTTTATTTGTACTTCCTTTTTATTCTATACTGTTGTTTTTGTTGTTGAGATTCTAAATATTGTTCAAAGTAAATGTATGCATGATGGTGTATGTGTGTGTGTATGTTTAAGTGAACTTGTATAAATATTAGGGTGATCGACTCGATTTTTCAACCGGTTTTAAAACCGGTTTTTTCTGCTTTACCAGTGTCGGTTTTTTCTTAATGTTGATTTTTCGAATATCGAATAAACCCGGTTTTTTTACTTTTTAAAACCCGGTTTCGAATACTTTTATTTGCTTTGTATTCAAAGATTATTTAAATGAAATTTTTAAGTAAATAATAATACAGCCCGCCTAAATTTTAAAAATATTCGAGTCGAGGAGCTAGCGTATATTTTTCTAAAGCTCCTTTGGTTAAACTTTTTTGATTTTCCTAATTAATTAAAAAAAATTTATTTGTAAAATTGATAACTGTTTGATAAAATTTTATCAATTTTATGATTATATTCCAATTACAATAATTAATTTACGGCTGAAATTATATGGAAGTATTGGAATGCCTATGCAAATTTCCTAAACAGGGTTTTTAAAATAAGCTAGGATTACATAGTACCTTATGTTTAACAGAAGTGTCCCACTTTTATCGTAATTTTTTTATATTAAAGAAATAATGTAAATCAGACGACTAGATCTAAAGTTATAATCTTTTAAACTGTTAAAAATCATTTCGGGCCATGTTTTATTAATCAAATTTAAACATAAACATTAAGTTTTTCAAATTAAAATATATTTTTTTATTTATAATGAAAAACCGGTTAACCGGTTTTTTCTGAATTTGAAAAATATCAACCGGTTTTTTTTAAATGTCAACTATTCGAACTATTCGAAAACCGGTTTTTGGAAAATGTCGAATATTCGATCACCCTAATAAATATGTTTGTTTGGGGAATTTAGTCTGGTTTGCTGCTCATTTTCTTTAAATTTTTATTTCTTTCGTTTTTTTTTTTTTTTTTTGTATGCTCTAGTGTCTCAAGGGAAAGTGAAAAAGACAATTTTAAATTTTAAATACAATTTCATTCTATTTGTTGTTGTTTATTTTTTATTTTTATGCATTTCTATTTTATCTGTATTTTATTTACTTGCAAAATGTTTATTATAAAAATAATATAAAAAGTGTGAAATTTAAAGATAAATAGAAAATGGAAGAGAGAGAGAGAGAGAGAGAGCAAAGTAGTAACTAGTAAAGTGAATTATTTATTTTATAAATTATAAGAGTCTTTTAATATACAAATGCACAAGAGCAGTAACAAGTAAAAAAAGCAAATAATGAAAAAAGGATATCTTGTCTTTAGAGCATCAGATGTAGACCAAATATATGTTTTAAAACAAATTAAATAATTTAAATTATTTCTTAAAAAAAGCATGTCATATGTTTCGTTTTAATACAACAGAATAAATGTTATTTATCTGGTAAACCGACAAGTAATATTAGAACTAAGTGCTAACTACTGCTGGGCCCCAGCTTTTTTCGTTATTAGCACGCGATCATGGTAAGTACTTAATTAACTCCTTATTTGTAAGCGAGCGTGATAAGCACTTAACTCCAATGTTATCACCACTTTAAACAGACTTTATGTTTTAATGTGTTAAAAATAAAAAGACAAAACTCAATATGCACTTTCCTCTTTTATGTCACTGCGATTTAGGGAGCTAATACCAACAATTATCTGTTTAAAATTATTAAAACTGACTAAAAACAACTTCCCCCACCTGTACTTGCTCGCATTACAATTTATCTAATCTATTCTTTTTAAATTTTCATTTATTTTGAGGCTCTCCCCAACACACTATCATTATTACCATAATTTCGTTGGATTATGAAACAAAAGCAAACTAATGGAAAAAAAATCATTTATCAAAAAGCTTTAAACACCGGGACGATAATTCTGTGGCCAGACTGAAACATAAATACAAATAAAAAATAAAACTTTTTTATATAAAAAATTTAAAACCCATACACACACCCAAAAAAACATTCGCCGTAAACTGGCACTTTCCCCTGTGAAAAGGCGCTAAAAAAATTATTTATTTGCCTGCAGGTTGGACGGATGAATGATTGTATGAAGAAGAACCTCTATAGGTGGCATAAAACTGTGGGAAAAATATCAAATTTTTATAATCCCGCGACTAGACGATAAAAACCCACAACAATGTTTTAAAAAGTGTTTCTGTATGTGACAGACGTAACGTAACTGTGTGTTGCCTAAAGTGTTGGTCTGTCGGTCGGACGGTCAACCAGTAGTGAAACCCATTGAGCGTAAATGTAACAACAATGAAATCCAATCAAAAAGAGATTGGAAAGTTTTAAAATATTGATGGACATGTGACACAGGATGGAAAAATATTAAATTTATTCGTTAAAAAAAAATAGAAAAAATTACAAATATTTAGTTTAAAAAAAGTGTTTAAAAAGAATTGAGAATTTTAATAAATAGAAATAAAATAGTAAATAGTGTGACAAGGACTAGCTGAAAGGTAATCATGAATATTTAAATGTGGAAAAGTGTGTTTGCTGTTTTTTTTTTTAAATACAATTGACACTATTTATTCAATGATAATTTGTAATAAATACTCTTAATACAATTACCTTTGTAAGAAGTTAAGTTTGTCATTCCGTTTGTAATTTCTATAATATAATTTTCCGACCCTTTTAATATATACATGTATATGTAAATCTGTATCCTTATAGAAAGCAGAGTCTATTATCAGACCGTTTGTCTGTCCGTCCGTATGTCTGTCTATCTGTATGTCTGTCTGTTAAGGTAAGTTTATCATTCTGTTAATTTTAGTTAGTCATTCCGTTTTTAATTTCTATAATATAATTTTCCTACCCTTTATATATACATGTATATATAAATCTGAATCCTTATAGAAAACAATGTCTATCTGTCCGCATGTCTCTTCGTCCGTCTGTCTGTCCATTTGGTTGTAGGTTTGTTGAAATAAATTTTTAATTCTGGTTTTATTTAAAAAGCGAAAGTTAGGATCATATCAATTTAAAAATACATCGACATAAATAATCTCTTCACCTAATTTTATAAGGATCGGTGCACAATCGACCTATTACTCACATAACCAATAAATCATTTAAATATCGTTTACAAGTGCAATGAATAAGTGGTAATAAATAACAAAAGGATCGATCCATAAAAACGTAAATTCTGTACTTTTTATACCCTACACCACTTTAGTGGGGAGGGTATATTGGGTTTGTGCTGATGTTCGTAACATACAAAAATATTCGTCCTATACCCACCTTAAAGTATACCAATCGGCTTAGAATCGTTTTCTGAGTCGATTAAGCTATGTCCGTCTGTCTGGCTGTCCATGTAAACCTTGCGCGCAAGGTACAGGTCGCAGTTTTCAAGATAATTGAATGAAATTTGGCCCAAGCTTCGTCTTATTGAAAATGCTTAAAATCGGTCCATTATTTCACCTAGCTCCCATACAACAGAACCCCCCAAAAAGGGCTTCTGAGCTCATAATTATGTTAAATATACCTGTATATTGATAAAAAGCTAAGTTTTATACAAGCCTTGATGACCTTGCCAAATTTCATAGAGATCGGGCCTCATTTGACCCTAGCTCCCATACAAAGTCCCCTTCAGAAAATTACTTGAATGTCCAAAATTATCTTATAAACACAAATATTGCGATGAAATATAAATATATTTACAAAATTTTATCGGGCTTGGTCCATATTTGCCCCTAGCCCTCCTATAAAGCCTCTTTCAGAAAATTAGTTTTTCATCCATAAATTGCTTAAATGTATCGCAACAAGGTAATAGAAGAGAAATGCTTTGTTATGAAAAATAAATCACATTTAATATTCATAACTGGTCGGTAACGCCGGACTATACTTTCTTACTTGTTACCATTGTGGTTAGTTAAAATACATTTAAAGAAAAAATAATACATACATATATATAAACAAATCTAGATCCTCCACAGACTTCTCTTTTAACCAATATTTTTATTTTAGTAACGGAATTTTGTGCTTTTGAGTTTTTTTTTCATTCAATATTATTAATGAACAATAGTACCACAAATTCGATTTTGTGGCTTTTTTATATATTGAATAACGTACGTGTGTCATAACAGACATATAGGAGTATAAATATCTATTTATGTTTGGGTGTGAGGATATATGCTTAAAAAAAGAAAACGTGAAAAATATGTGCACACCACTACATGTTTAATAAACATTTATTTTTTTATAATTTTAAATTTCTCTTTCATTCTTTTGCTCAAATTTGTGGTTTATTCAATTATGTCTTTCGTAGTTATAAAAGGTGTATAGATTTTCCGGCATTTATGATGGTGCTTATAATTTGGTGTTTGTTTTTAATTAATTTAGAATATTTGGTATGATAGACCTAGGACCTAGAAGCATTTTCAACTTGTTTTGCTTTTATGTTTTTAAGGTCGTATTTTGCGCAGAATCCCTGATCATACTAAATCATATAACATCCAAAACAAGGCCTTTTATCTGATAACTTATTTATTCCGACTTTTCCCCGATTTACCGATGATCTACATGTCAAAGACTCTAATTTAAATAAATATTTAAATCTCTAAAAAAATGTATGATCATTTTTCCCGCAATGAGCTAAAAATTAGGAAATTTTTAAGATCCATTTCGATTTTTTTTTTGTAGGATTTTCAATCTGGGAACCTTTTCAAAAAAAATATTTTTTATTTTTCTTGTTCAGTTAGTAAATTCTCGTCATTTGAGATCAAATTCCCAAAAACTCTGTTCCAAGGGACACTCTATTACACTAACACATACATTCCTATATGAATATTAAACCAGATATTGGTGTTTTTGTGGTCTACATTCCAATTTAATTTTATTTTCACGTTTATACAACTTTATTAAATAATGATAATAGCAATAGCAACAATACCAATTGTTAGAGAGTAAATACACGCCACAATTGAAAAAGAGTAAGAGCGAGTTGAGTAGAGAACAGAAATGACAAAAAACTGCAAGCAGCCAGCGTTGTCAACTTAATTGAATAAACTATTATGAAAAGAATATAGAACTAAAAAAATAGAAAATTTCTAAAAATTGGAAACAAGGGTCAAATTTGGACCTTTAAACTATCAGGAATTAGGATATATTCTAAAATTTTTGACGACAGAATCTTATTATAGTATAAAAAAACAAAAATATAACTATATGGCAACACTGGATACAAGTAATAAACATTACATTCACAAACAAATATAAATGAAGCCCATAATAAACAAATACATACATTCGTATGCATCAATATTTTCACATATGAATACAACACATACAGGTATGAATAAATATAAATTACGTAGACAAAAGAATGATTTTTTTTAATAAGGAGCAACTCATATTTTAGTTATCTTTGAAAATCTAATACAATTAAAGCCTTAAATCGGGTTACGATCCTATAATGCATGCATACTCATGATGAATTTCCTAAACTTTAGATTTCTTACAGTAAATAACGTTAAAAATTGCGGCCACTTAAAGGCTTACATAGGATTGTTTGTTTGGTATTGTTTAAGATAGACATATGATCAGTATATCTCTATATTACAAATCTTACTAAAACTGTTAGTAGAACCCTAATAAATTTACATACAATTGGTATTTACTATACAGTTGATGAGGCTCCATTGTTATTATAGTCATTATTTGTTATTGTTTATATTGAAAATTGTATTTATTTATCTGTATGCACAGACACATACATAAGCAGTCGTGCAAGAATGCACATTCATATCTAAATGTACATTTGTATGCATATATCGCTGATTTACTATAAGACATGCCTAACTGAAAATTTTGGTTTTTATACAGTTTGCATTGTGAAATCCTTTGCCATAAAAAAACTCCCTGTGTCCCAAGATTGAGTTAGCACTTTTTGAATATAGGGTGACGATATACCAATCGGATCAGAATCACTCGTTTAAGCTATGTCCGTCTATCTGTATTTCCATATGTCTGTCCGTCTGTCTGTCTGTCTGTCTGTCTGTCTGTCTGTCTGTCTGTCTGTCTGCCTGTCTGTCTGTCTGTCCGTCTGTCTGTCCGTTTGTGTGTCTATGTCGCACTTTCTGAGTCGATTAAGCTATGTCCGTCAGGCTGCCCCTCCGTATATCTGTCCGCCTGTCCGTTTGTGTGTCCATGTAAACATTGTGCGCAAACTACAGGTCGCAATTTTTCAAGATAATTTGATAAAATTTGCACACACTCTTCCATTGACCCAAGAACGAAGCATATTAAAAATAGTTAAAATCGGTCCATTATTTCAACCATACCTTCCGAATAGGGCTTATTATGATATTAAATGTTTAAGTATCTCTACAAAAATTGGAAAAACTTAGTTTTATATCAAAAAATTTATTTCTCTTTATATTTAAAAATTTATTTTTTTTTAAATTAAAGATGAAATTAACTTTAACCAATCATCGTCGTAGAGTTGTATGTCATAGTTTTTTAGTTATGCTAGTCTAGTAGTAAATGAGCGTTATGTATAAATATTGATTTATGTATATCTACACATATTAATAAACATGTAAACACATATGTACATACATTGTTAGACCATCAATTGTCCTAATTAATTAATAGGAAACTCTTGTTATAATTGTTCTTTAAAACCTCAAAACACACAAAAAAATTAAATAATATAAATATTTCATCACTGTTTTTTCTCCTCTTCTTACTTTTGTGGCTATTTTTTAAATTAAATTAATTGAATGATTTAAACGGCAGTTTTTTTTAATAACATAAGTGTTTTACAAAAATCTATGGATTTTTTTTTCTGTTTTAAATATATTTTGTGGTTGATAAATTTTAATAGATTTAATTGCAAGAGGAGAGCATAAAAACCAAAGGTATTATTTAGTGACTTACCTGTTGTAATATTGTGCATGAAAATTTCACGCATTAGAAGCATTTCATCTTCAGGAGCTGCTGACATGGCACCGAAAACATCATTCTCTGGCCAGACTTCTCTGAAAGTGGTAAAGAAAAGTATACAAATATTATTTGGGATTTTAGAAGATATACAATTTTGAAATTGAAAAGTGAAAAAATATGTATGTATGTATGTAAAGATGTTAGATTAAGTTCAGCGAATCCAACATTATATCGCAGAGAAACCACAGCATTTAAAAATCATAAGTATTTATAATGACAGCCTTTGCCATTGCCATATAATATTCAATCTTGATTTTGGGTTAATATTTATTTTTAATAAATTTCTCTAATAAACTCTTTATACTCATTATTTCTTAAGTAGGCTCTGCTCAATTTTTGTCAACTACCTCTTCTATATATAACATATCACCTTAGTTTTACCTTCTTTTAATTAAAAAGAAAATTGTTCCCAATAGTCATACAAGTGCAAAAGAAAAAACGAACACCGAAACATAAATTACTCTTACACTCTTACAACATATTAGCAAGAATTGAGTATTCTGCTCCAAATAATTTTATGCGTTCTAAATTGCAATAGTTGTCACATTTAATGCTGATAAATCGTTGTAGATGCTTGTTGCACATTTTGCCAACAAGCGATAGAGGTTTTAAACAAAATTCCAAAAGAAAACTTGTATAATTTATAATTTACTGGTACACTAACCTACAAGTGCTGCTCAAAAAAAATATATATTGCTCAGAACAAACATTTTTTTGCTCATATTTTATAATTAAATTTTAATGCTCATATCATTTAGTAACGAAATTTTGCAGACTCCAAAATAAAAACTGAAGCATAAACTTAACAAAAAAAAAAACAAAAAAGTATTAAAACATCCAGCTTAATATGACACGAAACAAACAAGAGACACAAGGATAAACATTTTTATGTAAAAAGGACATAAAACATCAACCAAAAATAAAACGACAGGAAAAAAATACATGGAGCAGAGAAAATGAACATAAAGTATTAAAGTGAAGTTGAGCGCTTACAAAAATGCGTTTTAATTTTATATACGCTCAAACAAGTAGTTGGTTAGAAACAATAGTGCAGTGGGAGTTATAAGTCTTCCCACCAGTATAAATTTTATTCCAAAATCGTTCTTAAAAAGTTTACTGAAATTTTATGGTTAGTGAGTGAGTGAGTGAGTGAGTGAGTGAGTGAGTGAGTGAGTGAGTGAGTGAGTGAGTGAGTTAGTTAGTTAGTTAGTAGTTAGTAGTTAGTTAGTTAGTTAGTTAGTTAGTTAGTTAGTTAGTTAGTTAGTTAGTTAGTAGTTAGTTAGTTAGTTAGTTAGTTAGTTAGTTAGTTAGTTAGTTAGTTAGTTAGTTAGTTAGTTAGTTAGTTAGTTAGTTAGTTAGTTAGTTAGTTAGTTAGTTAGTTAGTTAGTTAGTTAGTTAGTTAGTTAGTTAGTTAGTTAGTTAGTTAGTTAGTTAGTTAGTTGTTAGTTAGTTAGTTAGTTAGTAGTTAGTTAGTTAGTTAGTAGTTAGTTAGTTAGTTAGTTAGTTAGTTAGTTAGTTAGTTAGTAGTTAGTTAGTTAGTTAGTTAGTTAGTTAGTTAGTTAGTTAGTTAGTTAGTTAGTTAGTTAGTTAGTTAGTGTAGTTAGTTAGTTAGTTAGTTAGTTAGTTAGTTAGTTAGTAGTTCGTTAGTTAGTTAGTTAGTTAGTTAGTTAGTTAGTTAGTTAGTTAGTAGTTAGTTAGTTAGTTAGTTAGTTAGTTAGTTAGTAGTTAGTTAGTTAGTTAGTTAGTTAGTTAGTTAGTTAGTTAGTTAGTTAGTTAGTTAGTTAGTTAGTTAGTTAGTTAGTTAGTTAGTTAGTTAGTTAGTTAGTTAGTTAGTTAGTTAGTTAGTTAGTTAGTTAGTTAGTTAGTTAGTTAGTTAGTTAGTTAGTTAGTTAGTTAGTTAGTTAGTTAGTTAGTTAGTTAGTTAGTTAGTTAGTAGTTAGTAGTTAGTTAGTTAGTTAGTTAGTTAGTTAGTTAGTTAGTTAGTTAGTTAGTTAGTTAGTTAGTTAGTTAGTAGTTAGTTAGTTAGTTAGTTAGTTAGTTAGTAGTTAGTTAGTTAGTTAGTTAGTTAGTTAGTTAGTTAGTTAGTTAGTTAGTTAGTTAGTTAGTTAGTTAGTTAGTTAGTTAGTTAGTTAGTTAGTTAGTTAGTTAGTTAGTTAGTTAGTTAGTTAGTTAGTTAGTTAGTTAGTTAGTTAGTTAGTTAGTTAGTTAGTTAGTTAGTTAGTTAGTTAGTTAGTTAGTTAGTTAGTTAGTTAGTTAGTTAGTTAGTTAGTTAGTTAGTTAGTTAGTTAGTTAGTTAGTTAGTTAGTTAGTTAGTTAGTTAGTTAGTTAGTTAGTTAGTTAGTTAGTTAGTTAAGTTAGTTAGTTAGTTAGTTAGTTAGTTAGTTAGTTAGTTAGTTAGTTAGTTAGTTAGTTAGTTAGTTAGTTAGTTAGTTAGTTAGTTAGTTAGTTAGTTAGTTAGTTAGTTAGTTAGTTAGTTAGTTAGTTAGTTAGTTAGTTAGTTAGTTAGTTAGTTAGTTAGTTAGTTAGTTAGTTAGTTAGTTAGTTAGTTAGTTAGTTAGTTAGTTAGTTAGTTAGTTAGTTAGTTAGTTAGTTAGTTAGTTAGTTAGTTAGTTAGTTAGTTAGTTAGTTAGTTAGTAGTTAGTTAGTTAGTTAGTTAGTTAGTTAGTTAGTTAGTTAGTTAGTTAGTTAGTTAGTTAGTTAGTTAGTTAGTTAGTTAGTTAGTTAGTTAGTTAGTTAGTTAGTTAGTTAGTTAGTTAGTTAGTTAGTTAGTTCTAGGAAAATAACGCAGCTCACCCAATCTTAGATCATTCATGCTCTGTACCCTATTGGTGTACACGATTTCATATTCTTCCAAAAACTACAAACATCTTCTTCCAATTTTTGAAGCTTTTTCTTTCAAAGTGTATGATAACTTTTACTCCATACTGTTTACTTTCTATCCGTGCGATAACAACACCGCCAACTACATATTAAAATGTTTATAGTATGTACCAACAGTGGAGTTAATCCTTATGTAACACATCCCAATATACGTATGTAGACAAAAAAAATTAAATCCTTTTGCAATCCTTACTACCTCCTAGCAAATTCTCCAACTATATAACTCGACTAACATTCGTTTATATCCAATAACTGGATTTTGTTTTTAAAGTAGGCAGCTGGGAGGTAGAAGAAGATTTTGCATTTGTTTTTAATATAATATGTTGAATTTGGTATAGTACATTCACCAGTCACACGTGACAATGTGATGTGGCATTGCTGCGGAATTTTAAATGCTGTGTCTTGTTATATGTAGTTGTAACGTACAATCTTTGGCAAACAACATAGAGAGACAACACGTTTTAAATTTTGTTAGTTTTTTATTTTTGGTTTAAAATACAACACTAGTTGGTATTTTTTTTTTTTTGGTTTTATATGAACGCTGGCAAAATTTAACAATTTTTGTTAATTTGTTTTCATGTAAAATTTTATATTATTTACTAGTGAAGTTTATATGTGAATAGAAAAGATCCTTTACTAGACACGAAACATGATTGTGTACATGGTTACTAGGGAGATACAAACTTAAATGATGCTGAGGATGTTTTTTTTGAAAATGTTGTTTAAATTGTAAATACAGCGGAGAAAATACAAGTTATTTTATAGAAAATGTATGTCCCAGAATATTATGATATTCGAAAATTTTCTAAGGAAAACTAATGTCCCAAATTAATAGAAAACTACAAATTTTCGAATAATTTTAAAAAATTTGATTTCTAAAATTTTCAAAATAAAATTTTGTCACAAAGATTTTTATAAAAAAAACATATTTGACAAAGAAAACTATAGTAAAACATGTTCTATAGAAAACTGATGTCCATAAATGTTCTATATAACACTGATGTTCGTAGGTTTTCTTAAGAAAGCCCATAACCGAAAACTTTTTATAGAAAGTTGATGTCTAAAAGTTTTCTATCAAAAGTTTCGAAAGTTTCTTTAATAGAAAAGTGATATCCTAAAGTTGTTTACAACTACTAAGTAAAACTTATTTTCACAATTTTTTTATAGAAAATTTATTCTTAAAAGTTTTCTATAGAAAAATTGTCTATTTACGAAAGTTTTCTATAAAAAACTAAATAAAATATCACCCTAACTTTTAAACAGCAAAGATAATAGAGTTCTATTGCATTGCTGAAGAATGTAAAATAGGTTCACTTTAAATCTAGATTTAATAGCAGAACATATCTGTCACTACAACAGAAATGTTAAATAGCAATTCTAGGTTTGAATTGGTGATAACTCTGGTATCGACTAGATATTCCTATGTATTCGCAATAATTTCACCCGAACATGTGACCTTAACTCATCGTTTTATCAAATTTTGCATGAACAACTTAACTCGTAAATAATGCAACTATCTATGGAACAATTTTTTTCACACATACGACGACGATATTGCCACACAAGGTTATATTTTATAAAGTATGGCATATATTTAACGGTATTCATGTATTTTTTGCGCCAAGAAAAAAATTTAAAATGTCAACAACAAAAACAAGCTACAATCACATCAACTTAATTAAACGGTTCGTTCCAGTTAGTTTGTTACTTTCCTTTTACGGCTTCTAGTCGACGTTGACTCAAAAAAGTAGAGTAGAATAGCAAAAAAAAAAAAATAAAGAAAAACAACATACCTTAATTTTAACTCAACATAGAAGGATAGAATGAATTTTATGGCAACAACACCATGCAGATGTTGGTATGTGCACATTTTCAAATAAAACTTCACTATCACTACCACAACTCTAGCAAAGACATGCACACACACATACAATCCTTAAATATCATTTAGCATGCATTGATGCAATAGAAATTAGAGAGAGTGTTTGTTGGAACTCCTCTGTATGCACAACATGCCTGAAATGCATGAGATGATGAAACTATAACAAACAATTTCCGCCATATCAACAAAAACACACTCACTTTATATCACACACAAATATACCCACAATCTTATAGTCACACGTCCTTGTTCACATGGGCATATTTACAGACG